CTCGAGAGAGGAGAGAGATAGGTCTAAAGGATATAAGATAAGAGAAGGAGAGAGAGAGAACGAGAGAGGGAGAGAGAGAGAGAGAGAGATAGGTCTAAGGATATAAAGATAGAGAGAAGGAGAGAGAGAGAACGAGAGAGCGAGAGAGAGAGAGAGAGAAAGAGAGAAAGAGAGCAGATAGGTCTAAGCATATAAAGATAGAGAGAAGGAGAAAGAGAAACGAGAGTAGCGCAGGAGAGAGGAGAGAGAAAGAGAAAAGAGAGCGAAAGAGCGAATAGACGCCTGAGAGAGCAAGAGCGAAAGACGGAGAGAGAGACGGAGAGAGGAGAGCCGAGAGAGAGAGGAGAGAGAGAGAGAGTGAGAGAGAGGAGATAGAGAGATGATATATAGAGATAGAGAGAGGGAGAGAGAGAGAGCGAGAGAGAAAGAGAGATAGGTCTAAGGATATAAAGATAGAGAGAGGGAGAGAGAGAGAGAGAGAACGAGAGAGCGAGAGACCAAGAGAAAGAGAGAGAGAGAGAGAGAGAGAGAGAGAGAGAGAGAGAGAGAAGAGATAGAGAATGTAAAAAAAGAAATGGGGGAGGGGGGAGAACAGCGGAGGAGCTGCAATACTCACCTCCACCGTTCCTGTAGCACAGGTAGGGGAAGCGCCACACGTTGCCCAGCCCGACGGCATAGCTCAGGCACGACAGCACAAAGTCCAGCTTGCCCGTCCAGTTTCCACGCTCGACGTTCTCGTCGCCCGACGTCACGCTCGACACGTCGTCTGCGTCCACGTCGACGTGCAGCTTCCCGTTGCCACGCTCAGCCACCCGAGCAGATGACCCGTCGCTGCCGAAGCTGTCGTTTGAACCCATCTCCGCCTGTAAGGGAAATGGCTTCGTCGGTCAGTCATGTCTGAACATAGGGGGCGTGGTTGGGGCATCGACTTTGAAGTGCATGGATGGAGCGTGGCTAGATAGTTGTCGCAATATTGTAGGTTCACCGGCATTCATCAATTAGCGGGTCTTTGCTGCTGTATCCTGACTAAATTGCATAATTTCAGTAATTACTTGTGTAAAATGGTAGGTGTGTAAATAATATAAATATATGATTTCCATATACATGTACGATTGACACTTGGGTCAAGAATAAAATTATAATGCAAACGTTGTTTAATGGTTATGCTGGTTTTCCTTAGAAATAAATATGCGTTCTGAATTGGCCGACCATTCTTTACATGCAAAGAAATTTGCACTTTAGATGACTCCATCAATCAGCCGATCTATGGACTTTCCTCGAACACGGGCGCCCACTCACGCGGAGGGGGGGGCAGGCTAGTGGCTGGTGTTGTAAGTGATACTGCCCCCACCCAGCACGTGTCATGGAAAACTACCCACACTATCTAGCTAAGATATCGCCACCCACCAACAGCAGCAGCAGCAGCAGTGAGAGCAGCGGCTTCTACGCAAGGTGAAGCTTATCAGGGAATGGAGGATGGGAGAGGGGGAGAGGAAGGGTGCTAGACGATAGCTTGGTATGCAGCACAAGCTATCAGTGCGCAAAACATATATATATATACCATGTCACAGACTCAGAATACTGATACTTCCTAGCACCCAATACAGATTTAATATCTTCCATTTTTTGTGTGGTGGTGAGGCGAATTGTGAACAAAAACTCGAGAACGGTGCCTCGATGGTTTCGTTTCACTTTACCCAGCTGCACCGTACACGAATTATCAGATACAATTCATAATTCAGCGTACACCAAGACCCCTATTAACGTCGTTTCATTCAACGTCGGCTCATTATAACGTTGAGAAAAAAATACCACAGTGACTCACTGACTGTCAGTGAGGCCTCGTCTATAGCTGCGCTCACACGAGGATTTCAGTACCGTACTTGAGCGTTCACACGCTAAAAATATACGCGGCTTATTCAGTACCGTACTGAAATACGCGGCTTACTCGGCGCGGAATGTGATTCCGCGCCGAGTAAGCCGCGTATTTCAGTACGGTACTGAATAAGCCGCGTATATTCGGCACCACGCTGGCCGCGTATTGTCTGTCGTGTGAACGCAATTTCAAATTGCGAAACTGTAGTGCGCTTACCTAGACTGGTACCCGTTCGCTACACGATGTTAGTGTAGCGTGTGGAACTGTCGACCAGGTACCAGTCTATGTTATACCTAGCCAGCTAAGCCTCGATTCTCGTGTGAACGCCCCGGTTGTCTTAGCACGGTATTTCAGCCGAATTCAGCACCAGATAAGTACGGAACCAGCGAGGCCGTGTATATCGTGTGAACACAGCTATAATCAGTGTTCCCCTGCATTGACACGAGAGCAATTAAGGCGGGCTGCCTCGCTCAAATTCTCAGTCACCACACAGAAATTTGTCCAAAACACCGCCTCGCTAACGAAAATCACTGTTCTTCCATCAATAAACAACAGAATAGCTTATAATGCACCAAATTGCACCATTTTTTCAACAGTTTTCAGGCGGGCATGCCCCTGGACCCTCCTAGCTGGGCAAGCACCTGCGATGCTCGCTTTGCTAGAACCTCGAAACGCGCAAACACACCAAAAAATAATTTACAGTCTTTTTGGGAAATGTGATCAGATGGCAGAGCGCTTCATTTAATGTCATTGCAGTAAAAGCTGCGGTTTTGAGGAACCTAACTACGATGTTAACGGTGGAATCCCAAAAAAAGTTCACGCAAAATTTCCCGTGCCAGCTGATCCGACTCAGAGATTGGTTGCTTCGCACACACGTACCTAAAACCACAATTCGGACCTTCACAAGACGTGCCGTAAAAATAACGTCACATGTCCGGAACATAATGCTACACGCACCCTTATAGTTATTGTAAGTAATGTCACGTTTATAGCATGTAATGCCCCACGCACGTACCGTTATAGTTACTGTAAGTCACATCTATAGCATACAAGTCCCCTGGCACCGTTATAGTTATTATTAATAACGTCACGTTTACAGTATTCTAGAATCAGCAACAGAGGCAGTAGGCCTACTAGTGGAGGCGCCCTGTCTCGGTTGCTAATCCTTGAATGCCCGATCGGAGCACGAGTGAGAGCGACACGCTACGTATGCCGCATCAAGATAGATGTATGATGGTATCAGGAGTGAATAATAATAGATTAATCTATTAGCCCTAATCAATTATTATTCATTCCTGATGGTATCAAGAGCTAGTTAGGGGGCGACGTCTGCGTGTGTTACGCACGAACGAATGACATTTCCGTCATTTCCCTCTGTGCGTCTCTGGCAGAAAAACACAATCAGATTCAATGCACGATATTATAGCTATTAGCAGCAAGATAGGATAAGAGCAGATTGTGATTACCTTCACAGACGATATTCACGGGTCGAGAAGAAGGAGTAGGAAGGATGAGGAAAGGTAACCACAAGATCTGCCAACAAGAAACTCAAAATTCTTCGGCCACATTCTAGACAGAAGGCGCCCGCTATATTGCTGCCGCCTAGCTTTCCCACGTATGTCTCGCGCGCCCTGGTCAGAGTAAATCCGTACATGATGAATCCGGGTCACTGCTGAGTGAAGTACGTCTATACATAGCTGAGGGCGGCCTGATGCCAAGTGAAGTTTCCCAGTATTTGGTCAATAATATCCGCTCGTTTTGCCACCAGTGGCCTACATACAACATACGCGCAGTGAGTCAGGCGTGCCCTGTATGCGCATCTGCTGCCATGGTGTGTGTGGTATTACAGCAGCAGAAACCTACACTCTGGCATTCTGATAAAGGTAATCGAGAAAGACGCAATATGAGATGTGCCCGTGGTACCCACGATGAGGGGCCACGTCAGCTAACGGCACAGGACTCAGTATGTAGCTTGATGGTATTATTACTACGCCTGATGTTACGGTAATTTTATATAAATTTAACAAACCCGTGACCATTAATGACAATCACATAGGAGGCTGAGCAGGTGCTATGACTTGCCTAAAGGCATCCTGAAGTACCTAGGTAGTATAAGAAGCTTATCCATCGCCTACTATGTCCGACTAAAAGTATGTCCCCTTTCCGAGTTACCAGTTAGATATTTGGAGAGAGACAGAGAGATGAAAGAGAAGGGGAGTGAGGGATAGAGAGAGAGAGGAAGGGAAGGAGGGGAGAGAGGGAGAGGGAGAGAGAGAGAGGAGAGAGACAGAGAGAGGAGAGAGAGAAGAGAGAGGAGAGAGAAGAGAGAGAGAGAGAGAGAGAGAAAGATGAAGAGGGAGGGAGGGAGAGAAGGAGAGCGAGGAGAGAGAGAGGAGAAAGAAGAGATCGGGAGAAAGAGAGAGAGAGAGGAGAAAGGAGAGATCGACAGAGAGAGAGAGCGAGAGAAAGAGAGAGAGAGAGGAGAGAGACAGAGAGAGGAGAGAGAAGAGAGAGAGAGAGAGAAAGATGAAGAGGGAGGGAGGGAGGAGAATGGAGAGATCGGGAGAGAGAGAGAGAGAGAGACAGAGAGAGAGAGAGGAGAAAGGAGAGATCGACAGAGAGAGAGAGAGCGCGCGCAAGAGAGATTGTTGGCGCTGAAAACAAGAAGTGAAACAAATACATATTAATTACAATTCGTCCAATACTTACACCACGATTCACCTTAGAGAACATTTCTGGTAGTCGCTACACCCTCGCTGTGATACCAGCTTACATGTAAGAGACAGTAAACAGGCTACAAGTTAGCAGCTTTCAAGATAGTTCTTCAATGCGATTGTCATCCCTTGCGCGCCCACTATATAACAGGTGCGAGGGGAATGTAGCATGTGAAGCGTTACGAAAACGATTCAAACAACTAGACTGACAACTTCTATCTTGATGCCATCAGACACATTTACTTAGCTGAGATTATTTCATGGTCAGGAAACTTCGGATAACATTGATTTTAAAGTGGAAAATCAACTCACAGGTTCACGCCCTAACTTACTGCAACAATGTTTACTGTTTAGAAATAGATAAGATATCTCTCAGATTGGGACATGTAAACGGTTTTAGAAATGATAAAGGCTATTTCTTCGGTACTGCTTTCAATAACTTTTCTACTTCCCATCTCCCCCTCCTGTTATCGTCCTGTTTCTCTGTCCTCCATTTCCTTACCGTTATCCTCCGAATCCTCTTCTTCCTCGGTTTATTCTCCTAATTTCTTCTTAATCTTTTTCTTACCTCCTAATCTCCTTCTCTCCATTCTTCCTGCCCTTGCCTTCCCTTTATTCGTCAACCCCATCACACTTTTGCTTTGGTTCTGTCTCCTCCTCTTATCCTTTCTTTCCCACAGTATCTCCCATTCACTTCTACCCTTCTCCCGTCTTCTTCCCCTACGCTTGGTTTCACAATATTTTCTCAACCCCTCATCCTTCTGCTTTTCTTACTCCTCCCCTCCTCGTCTACCTCCTCCTATTCTTCACTCTCCTAATAGTCTCTTCTTTCCACTGCCTTCCCCCTCCAATCTCCTCATAACCTTGTTTTCTATCCTCCCCCTACTTTCGCCTCCACTCTCATTTCTTTGTCCTTTACTATCTCTACCCCCTTATCGTCTGTTTCTTCCAATCTTCATTGCCACGTAACATACAGAACTGCTAGGAAGTCTTGCTCTGTAAAACCTTGTGATTGCCCTGTTGACCAATTTCCATTTTGTCCCAGTCTAACATTTTGCCCTTGGACTTATGTCCACTTGCAACTTGTCCCCTGGTTTCATACACCCTGCCATCTTGTCCCCTCGCCTCGTGTATTCTAGCTATTTTGACCGTCGACATTCTGCGCGCTCCCATTTGACCTCATTAGTGATTATTGCAGAAGCTGCTCCCGAATACCATGACACATCAGATGCTGCCCAAGTGAAACCCGATCTATGCGCGCGAGCCTCATGTGCCAGCAAAGCAAGCGAGCAAGCGAGAGGAGTCGCTGGACAGCCTGTCACCCTCCTCCCGTGACGCATACACAACACATGTCGGATTTAAGCATACAGCTGGACAGTGGACACCCCCGTATTATGTATCGAGTTTTGGTTGTAGTGCGCACTGGTTTCATTTCAGCACACAAGCCCTCGTGAACTATGAATATCATCAGCAAATCGTGGTGTGGGTGTCACAATCGTGGTGTGGGTGTCACTGCATGATGCACGGTGTTCCAATGACATTTTAAATACCAATTCAAGTCCTCAACCCGCCACGTCTATGCTTTTTACTGCAGCACGCGTGATTGACGCTCACGCCGCACACACGCGCTCACGCACACACGCGCGCACGCACACACGCCGCACATACGCGCTCACGCACCCACGTCGCACACACGCACTCACGCACACACGCCGCACACATGCACGCGCTCACACACGCACACACGCCGCACACACGCGCTCATGCACACACGCCGCACACACGCGCTCACGCACACACGTCGCACACACGCGCTCACGCACACATGTCGCACACACGCGCGCGTCACGCACCCACGTCGCACACACGCGCTCACGCACACACGCCGCACACATGTGCTCACGCACACACGTCACGCACACACGTCGCGCACACACGCGCTCACGCACACACATCGCACACACGCGCTCACGCACACACGTCACACACACGCGCTCACGCACACACGTCGCACACACGCGCTAACGCACACGTCGCACACACGCGCTAACGCACACACGTCACACACACACGTCACACACACACGTCACACACACGCGCTCACGCACACACGTCGCACACACGCGCTAACGCACACGTCGCACACACGCGCTAACGCACACACACGCGCTCACG